TGTAATAGGTTTTAATGTTCAATAAATTTTAAATTTTTAATTTTTTTACCCCGGGCGGGCCCCCCAAACCCCGAAAATTTCCCCCAATTTTCCCTTAGCCCCCCCTACACTTTTTTACCCCCCCATTTTTCACACTGCCAGTAATGTATCAAAAACATTTTTATGTTAAATTTTAATAAAATTTTTAGTTTTTTTTAGCTCGCTGGGCCCCAGCCCCCCCAATTTTTCCAACTGCTACCCCGCTACACTGTTAGCCCCCCAGTTCCACTGCCAGGAATGTACATAACATGTTTTATGTTCAACCCAATTTTAAAGTTTTAAGATTTTAGCCCCGTTTTGGCCCCGCCAGCCCCCCCCCCAGTTCAAAAAACGGGTTAAGCCCGCTAGACTGTTTAGCCCCCCTCATTTTCCCCACTTTTTTACCCCCCCCCCGCTTTGTTGGACTGTACCCCCCCCAGTTCACACTGTTAGCCCCTCCACTGCTAGCCCCCCCCATTTTCACATTTTTTTAGCCCCTACACGGTTTAGCCCCCCGGGTTAAACATTTTTTTACCCCCCTACACTGTTAGCCCCCCCCCCAGTTCAACTTAAACCCCCCCTAGACCCCCTTAGCCCCCCCCCAGTTAAAACCCCTTTAGCCCGCCAGACGGTTCACCCGTTTGCCTCCCTTATTTCCACAACACCCTGAAAAAAGACACATAAAAATTCCTGAATCCCCGGGTTAAAAAAAATGAAAAATTAATGTTTTTAATAGTGAAAAAAAAAAACCGGGAAAGCAATTAGAAACGTTAACCCCAAAAGGAATGGTGGCCGGGCGGGGAAAAATTTACAAAAAAATTTTTAAAAAAAATATATCAGTTTGGGAGAAAAAATGACAATGAATTTGTAGAACTTTAAATTTTCCCCGAAAACATTACTTACCCAAACATTGAATAAAAAAGGGTGTTTTAATTTGGGCCCAATTGTAGGTGACTTTCGATTTGACGGATCATAAGACAGAAGGAGAGAGAGAGAAGAGAGAGAAGAGAAGAGAGAGAGAAGAGAGAGAAAGAAGAGAGAGAGAGAAGAGGGAGGGGGAAAGAGGGAGGAGAGGGGAGGAGAGAGAGAGAGAGAAAAGAAAAATTGGGGTTGGTCAAAAAGTAGCCAAAAGGTGAAAAAAAAAAAAAAAAAAAGGAATTTTTAAAAATTTAAAAAAGATTAAAAAAAAAAAAGGCCCTTAAAGTAAAAATATATTCGGCATCACCCTCTTCTTTAAAACGAAAGGCTTTGTTCAAAAAGTTGGGCGTAAAAGAAAAGTTTTAGATATTTAAAAAAAAATTTGGAAATATTGAAGCAATCAATTTAAGAAATTCACTTAAACAAAGATGAATCAACATTACCCCAGTTACAAACAAAGTCAGCAATTTTGAGGATTTTCATAATGAAGTAGACCAACATTTTTAAGAAGTTTAAAAGTATTAGATCAAAAGTTATTAATCAAGAAAATTATATATGTATCGTCAGGTCAAACACCGGAAGGAAGTGTCTAAAATGCATTTGGAAGTGCAGAAAGGTGTTCATTGGAAAATGGACATTGAAACTTTTGAGCCAACCAACTTTAATACTTTAATTGTTGCAAAAGAAGAGCTATGACAAGCGTCCTATATATCATTTCGAAGTGTCAATTAGTACATTTTATGAGGAAAAAAACTTCAGAGGAGTCCTACGTCACATGAATTAAATGATAGAATGAAACAAAGCAAAGAACAAAAATCAAATGAATTATCTCATCTAAAAAACACATCTGCTGCAGCACTTACAGCAAGAAAGAAACCTGTTTCCATATATAAGCCTAATATTCGCACCTGAAAAAATGCCGCTACTGCTCAAGATATTCATTGGAGTGATGAGTAAAAAATATGCTACCGTAGCTGAATAGAAAGAAATATTAAAAAAATCATTTTCAAGTGTTGAGGGTTCGTCAATCAGCAAAGAAGATGCCAAAACAATAAATAAATCTCATCATTGCATTTGATAATCATTTTACACACACAGTTTATGTCGCAAAATTTTAACCGCTATTCGAAATTCTTATGAAAACGTTCCAAATGTCGAAGATTAATAAGTAGAACGCTATACTCATTGCTATCCCAAATATTGAGCAGTCTTTCTTTCATCAAGTGAACAGTTTTTGATGCTAAACAACAGCAACATATAACGATAATATATGGATAATGGAAATAGAATAACGTTAGATTATATTTGTTGATTCTGGTAATGTCACATGCATATTGTTTAGTATGAGACTTCACTAGGATTAATACCTTTATAATCTACATGGAGATACATACATATACAGGCATAATTTGGGAGTAAAAATACAAAGCCTATCAGACAAAAACCACAACATTACAATTAAATAGACAAATGGTCAATATTATGTCTTAATTACTGCATTACACATTTGTTATCCAAATATATACTATGGAAATTAATCAATTATTGATTATAAAACTATAATATAATCTTGACGTCACAGAAAAAATTTATGACATTGGACACTCAAAATCTACAATGGCAATTATTACAGCTGAAGTGTAACTTTGACAGTATTTAGACTTGTCTAATTGAAATGATATTATTTGGGATCAATTTGTAAAATCAAATTAAATATTGAAGTGCAGTCTGTCTATCTATTCATCATGATGGATTAGGATATTATTGGAGAAAAAAGTTATAATGATGAGTCAATATCTACACTGTGTGAAACATGTTGATTCTATCAATATGGAAGCTGAATAAAATTCTTATGTTATCAGGTTTAGTGAATGCTTTGCCATGAATAGAATTTATATGAAACTTTGAATGCAAACCTGTTTGAAATTGTATGGAAACATTAGCAGATATCATGATGGACGGTATGTAAATGTGAATTGCCCTATACAAGTATGATCTACCCTACCTAACCGTGAACTTGCATTAGGGAGGCTTAAAATCAAACAGTAACAAGACTACACAAACGACATGATTTGATGGTAAAGCTATGATAACGTTATAAAAGATCAGTTACAAAAAGGTGTATATCGAAAAAATTGATAAAACATCAAGAACACAGTATTAAACATTATCTGCCACACCATGCTGTTCTTACTCCCCGAGAAAACAACTACAAAATTGAGGGTCGTTTATTGATGCATCGGCAAAGACAAAATCAACAAATAAAAAGTTTGAATGACTGCCTTTACCGTGGAAACAGTTATGATACATGATTTATGTCAAATGTTTTTGATTTCAGATTACATCATATAGGTATAGTTGCAGATATTGAAAAAGCATTTCATCAAAGTCGGATTACAATCAGAAGCTAGAGATGTCACAAGATTCTTATGGTTAAAAGATATTGAAAAGGGAATGTCAGACATGTCAAATGTAGAAGAAATAATCGATTTTGCAGAGTGCCTTTTGGAGTTATATCTAGTCCATTTTCTATTAGGTGCTACAATTGAATGTCATCTTGACTCTTATGAAAACGAAATTGCATCAAAACTGAAAATGATATTTACGTTGATAATCTTATCACAAGTACAAGCACAGAGGGGAAGCAATAAATTTGGTACAATAATTCGAAAAAAATGTTCAATGAAGCGTCAATGAATTTGAGGGAATGGTCAAACAAATAACGAAAATGTAAAAAACTATATCCGTTCAGAAGATAAGTCAAATTCTAGAATTAGCAAGGTACTTGGACACATGTGAGACATTGAAAATGACACACTTGGATTAGGCACTTCAAAAGTGTTTAGCAAGAAACTAAATGTTACAAAAAGGAATGTATTAAAGCAAGTTGCGTCAATATTTGATCCGTTAGGTCTGTTTTCACCGGTTACAATGCAAGGAAAGATATTTATTCAAAAACTATGGAACAGAAAGCTTGACTGGGATGAAAATGTTAACGAAAAGGAATTAAAAGAATGGAGTAGAATAGAACAAAACTTAGAATAACTAGAGTCAGTTAAAGTAAAGAGATGTCTTTCAACACAAAACAAACAAAAGGATGTAAAACACTATTTGGTATGTTTTACAGATGCATCGAAGAAAGCTTATGCTGCGGCAATATATTTGATACAAGAAACTGAAAATACGAGGGAGTCTAATTTGATATTTGCAAAAACTCGATTAGCACCAAACAAGGAGATATCAATACCACGACTGGAAATTATGGCTGTATTGATTGGAGTAAGATGCATGGAATACGTTACAAAAGGGTTGAAAATTAATTTACACGGAAGGTATTTGTTTTCAGACTCACAATGTGTGTTAAAATGGATTAAAACAGAAAAAGGACTTAATGTGTTTGTAGAAAACAGAGTAACAGAAATAAAAGGTTATAGAGACATTGTATTTGGATTAATATCTACGAAAAAAAATCCAGCTGACATTGGAAGTACAGGAATTACAGCAAATCAGCTAGAATATTGCAAGTTATGGTGGCATGGACCTAAGTGGCTATCACATCCAGTCAATCTGTGCAAAAACAACAAAGTGAATGAAATGATGCATGACTGTCCAGAAAAAGAATGGATGTCAGAAATAAAGAATAAAGAATCTATGATGATATCACAAACATAAAAATGAATATGATATTGATTGTAGTACGCCGTTTGGAATAAACAGTGAAAATTATTCAACAGCTTCAAAATTGTTTCGGGTGACTGCATATTCACAACGATTCATCAAAAGGTTGAAGAAATGTGAAAAAATTGAAAATGGTTCAATAAAAATAGACGAATTAGACTGTGCAGAAAAACAGTGGATTTTACACATTCAGAAAAAATGGTATAAACATGTATTTGAATCGATTCAAACAGGGTCGAGTTTAAATATAAAACAACAGCTTGGAGTTTACATAGATAAAAATGGCTTACTTACATGTCAAGGCAGACTTGAAAACATAAACCTTAGTGAAACAGCGAGATATCCATATCTACTGCCAGAAAAGGATCATGTTACTCGTTTCATAAAAAGCAGCTTCACAGTGGATTATCTCAAACGTTAAGTGAATCGAGATACAAGTATTGGATTCCAAGAGGTCGCGCTACTGTACGCGGGGTGTTACAAAAGTGTATATTATGTCGCAAAACGGAAGGCGGTGCATTTAAAATGCCGCAAATGTCAGCCTTGCCGAAAGGACGTGTGACAGAGGCTATAGCTTTCACGAGAACTGGGTTAGATTACTTAGGGCCACTCATGATAAAAACTAATGGGGAACCTAAAAAGGTTTGGATTTGTTTGTTTACGTGCCTTGTTACACGTGCGGTACATCTAGAAATCGTAATGGACTTGTCAACAGAAGAGTTTTTATTAGCATTGCGTCGATTTATTGCACAACGAGGGGCTCCAAAGGAAATAATTAGTGTCAATGCAAGTCAGTTCAAATAGGCTAAAAATTACTCTAGAATTAATTTGGCAGAAAAACAATAAAATGTGATGAAGTTCAAAGTTATGTATCAGATTGTGGAATAAAATGGACTTTTATAGTAGAAAAGGGCACCATGGTTTGGAGGATTTTATGAAAGATTAGTTGGACTAGTAAAAAGGTCATTGAGAAAAACATTATGTAACAAGTTGTTGACAATATTCAGTTACAAACGGTAATCAAAGAAGTAGAAAGTGTGCTTAATTCAAGACCACTTGTTTATGTTGACAGCGATATAAATTCAACAATTACATTAACACCTGGACATTTTTTAACCACTTAATCCTAAAAACTGGGATATTTGAAGTTGATGTTGATGAAAGTGACCCTGATTATGATCCATATGAAAAGTTCAGCCAAAAGAATGTTAAAAATATGGAAAAAGGGACAAAAACTTTTAAATCAATTCTGGAAAATTTTGGCATAAGGAATATTTGCTAAGCTTACGTGAACGAACTCAAACAATGTTGAAGTCTCGTCGCATACAATCTATGTGTCAACAAAATGTTGGTGATATTGTTTTAATAAAAGATGAGATACCAAGGGGATCGTGGAAACTAGGGCACATTTCTAAACTGGTAATTTCAAAGGATGGCGAATGTCGTTCTGTTAAGGTGAAATTAGCGAGAGGAAATACAATTGGGAGACCTCTTAATCAACTTTATCCTGTCGAAGTCTCTGGGGAGAGACCAAACGAACAAAAAAGGATACAAACATTCAAAAATATAGGTCCGAACAGCCAGTTCTAGAGACAGAGAAACGTACAAAACGAACAGCTGCAGTAAAAACTAATGCTAAATTAAAAGATTTTTATAAAAAGGATTTATTATAAATGAAAAGATGAAACAAAAAGTGACAAAATTTGTAATTAATGCTTTCTGTAAAGTTTAAATAATGTTTATGAAGAATTTTATTGGATTTTCTATATTCACTTACTTTATAATACTTATATTGTGCTTATATTATAGTACATAATTAATTTACATGATAGTGGATGTTACTATTCAAAACGTTTGGATTTATATAAAAAGAACTGGATGTTTAGTACTTGAATTTAGGACTTTATCATTACGCCATCTCACAAGTGACAATTATTCTAGAGTTCATAATATGGTGATAAAATAAAATTTTTGAACTGTTTGAAATGACAGAGATAATATGTTTCGATAAATTTTATTCATATTTCATATTATTATATCATTGTACCTTAGAGCGTTATATGCATTATATAATTCAATGTATATTCACTGTATCATACTTACATATTTCATATTACAACTTAAAAATCATTGTAAAGAGCCGAATTATAAAATATTTTGAACTTTTAATTTTAAACAAATTTGGAAAACTCTTTATCAATTTAGCTATAGTGTAACTTTTGTCAATTTTGTCCTGGTGGGGAGTGTCGCTAATCGCGAGAGAAATTCTGTACAGGGCATTGTCCAAACATTTATTAGTTTTATTATCAAGCTTAAGATGTTTACATTTTGTTAATATCCAGAAAAATAGTTATTTTTACCAGGACATTTCATTGGTTAATTGAGGAAATCTCATCACCATTTTTGGATGTAGCTTTTTGGTGTAATTTGCACACGGCTCTAAAGATATTTACTTTGGGCGTTGCCTTGATTTTTTGAGAGTGAAAAAGAAACTTTTGTAGAATTAACATCTAAAAAGTAATAAGAACAAAAGAGAAGAAAAATAATGTTAAAATTTTGGATAATTGAAAATATAGAACTGTTAAAAACTGTAAGGTAGATAAATAAAAACTGTGAAAAGTTGAATTGTGTTAATTTTAACGTGGCGGAAAAACAGATAATATATCACGGGTCGCTACAGCACTATTTACAAAGTATATTCATTGCATCAATTTGATATTGCGTCAGGTGCAATTGTTAATACTAAAGTGTTTAAAGCTCGATATCCAAGTGGTTAAAATATATATTAAATAGGCTTAAAAACGACACCTTAGTTTTAAATAAAGTTCAAAAGGCACACTCCTGTTATGTACAATATTTAATTGAACTTGAATCCAAAGTTTGAGCAAATCATCTTATAATCATTTGTAACCAATCAACTTGCATAGCTGCATCAACTTGCAAAGTAGCAAGGAGAAAAAAATATATCTTTAGCAGCTAGCCCGTGCACGTTACAAAACTGGCGCCAAACGGGGGACACATCTAGCTAATTTACCCAGGACTGAGAATAAAAATAGATGGTTCGATCAAGACTTTTGTGATGGAATTGAAAAATCGTAGGCTGAAACTCCAAAGAGAGATTGATAGTGTTCAAAGACTGATTGACCAGACAAGCTTTGAACATCAAGAAGAACGACTACCCCAAAGCCTAGACGTCTTTTGCCTGTATTGCCTATTCATAGGAGGGGTGTGAATGGCAGAATCAGAACCAAAAGCCAGAGGATTGTTGCTTTGCTCCCCGTGAAACTCATTTGAAGCAGAATGAACAACAGAAATTGGATTACAATCAAATTTCAGATAAAATTTTGATTTCAAAGTCAAAGATGCAAGATTTACTTTCATGAAACCTGCTACTTATGACGGAACTTGTGAATGGACAAAGCACACTTTGACGCTTGTGCAACTTTGAGTAGTTGGAATGAAAACGTGAAAGGTAAAAACATATCTGTATCCTTACGAAGCCAAGCTCAAGAAATGTTCGGACATTTGACAACAAAGACACATAATTATGAGGAGCTTGTGAGAGCACCAAGAAATCAGACTGAGTTATATATAGCTCAGTTAAGAGATAGGCATCAAAAAGCTACTAATCAATGGCTGAACTTGGACAAAATATTCGATGTACTTGGCGTATCCTTTTGCTCCTTTAGATGTGCGTGACACTTTGGCTAAATAACAATTTGAAGATGCACTAGTAAATTGCGACATGCCGCTCAAAATAAAACAAGCTAGGCTAATTAATTGAATGATGCAGTGAGGCATGCTGTATAACTGGCATCTGAAAAGAAGCAGTAGAAAATAATAAGAAGTTCGCAGACAGATAGCTTGTCAAAATAGTTTGAAAGACCTCAAACTGTTGTATTTTCCTTAAAACAAAGTGTTGATGTGAAACGTCAATGAAGATACGGGCGGCAAAATAACTACTATGCTAGAACACCAAATTGATATGATCAAAGACGTGTACATCATTTCCACAAAAACACTTTCAATATCGTACTTAAAATGAAAAAAAAACGAAAATCTTACATTAATACTTCTGTTTGTAAACAATCTGAAGAGGAAACTCTGGAATGTATATTTCAGCACATATTAATTGGACTCCAGTTGACTGTTTGGTAGATACGAGAGCTACTTTAACAGTTATTTCAGAAAAGTTTGGAGTGATATTAAGAATGTTCTTTACAATCTGTTTGATCACAGATTGTGTCTGAAAGTTGAAATTATTCAAAGATCCAAAGGACAAACAGAAATAATAATTTCATTTGAAAATAAATGTTGTTTAACAAAGTTATTGTTGCTGAAATGACTCAGTTGTTGAATGAGGTCTTGATTTAATGCGGGACCAAAACGTTCCTTTGGGTGTTGCCAATGATAAGATGGGTCAATAACTTGACTTGGTCTGTTCAGGAAAAATAGGCTAATGTAGAATAGTACTTTCGGAACAAGTTGTTGTCCCTGCTGATCAGAAATAATGGCTAAGGGAAAGATTGGTAAAAAAGCAATAAATAAAGTAGGTTAAGGTATGACCATCCTAATGCAATACCTCCACTTTGAAGAATATTCAAATAGGCTAGAACTACTGTCAACTACATTGAAAATGAAGGCCGTAGGTTCAATCCCAAGAAAGGTCAACTTTTTTCTTCTTTTAACATTGTTTATGAATCTCTCATGTCCCATTTGGAAAGAAACAAATTGTTTAAGTTTGAGTTTATAATTTATATAGGTATTTATTGGCTAAATTATGCTAAATCTTGTAATAAATATGGTACCTGATATTTTCAAAGTGTAATAAAATCAAAACTAGACTGTAAAAGTATTTCATATTTTACAAGATCAACAAATACACTTCTTTCACAAATTTTAAGTAGAAACCGTAATTTTGCTTATGTGGATTGTTAGCTGAATGGTACTTTTTGTTTCTTACCAAACATTTATGGGAAAACATTTTTCATTAG